AAAAAAAAAAAAAAAAAAAAAAAAAAAAAAAAAACACATCATAGTAAAATTAATACCTTCTCCGCTTCGCATCGAAGCTAAAACTTTCATTTTTTTTAATAGTCAATTTCAATTACAAAACATAAAATAAAAACAGCACACGATGTAATAGCTTTAATTAAATCTCCTTTTACAAAAGATTTAATTTTAAGATTTAACAACAGATTGTTATTTTTTTTAATGTATTATTGGGTGAAAGCATACTGTTAAAAACAATATCAAATTTATTTCTGGCCTTAAACGTAATTTATATATTTAAATCAATCGTAGCATTTACTATAATTTTTTTCGTAGAAACTGATTTGAATCCTAGCGAATGTAGCAAAAACAAAGTAAAAGAGAAGCTTATTGAAAATGAAAACACCGTAATATTTATAGTTTCTTCAGGACAATTAATAAAAACACTATTTTTAAAATAATAAAATATTGTATACCATTTAAATAAGTTTTCAATACAGTAAATTTTTATTATCGTTTTATCACAAGTTAAGTGATATACGATTTTTAAGTTTTTTTAGAAAGGATTACAGGAGTCCTTTATTTATTTATTTTAATAAAGGAGAATTATTTATTTAGTCCAATATGCACAAAAAATCCATTTTACTTACTGTATACTTGCCAGGTATCAGATTATTATTATGAATTTTGGCATGGGGTGAAGGTAAAATTTATTTTTATACACCAGTCGAACGTGAATTAGTAGTTTCCATATTTTTGGCAAAGTCTAGTCTTTTCAAAACATAAGTTCAAATAAAGAATGTAAGAATACAGAATATAGAGAATAATTTTTTTTAGTATTTTAAATAATGTGTTATTATAACGTAAACAAATATTAAACATAAAATAGCATACGATGCCTAGTGTAAAGCATTAAAATCTTCTAATATTAAATTACTTAGTTTTTTTCATTTAAGATAAACTAAAGAAATTAAATTGTAAAGGTCTGTAAAATTTTAAATTTCAATAAAATATTATTTTTTCAAATCTGAGTTATTAAATAATTATCATTGATCTCATTAGTTATATTATATTTACAACTGCATAGTCACTGAACTAAAATATTGAAAAATATTTTATTTAAATATGATTTAGAGATATGAAAAACAAAATAAAAATATTTTTAACGCATAACGAATGAAAAATAAAGATATTGCTTTTAATTTATATTTATATTTAATTTATGAAATTATACTTCTTAGTTATTAATTTAGATTTAAATTCATTTAACAACGGTTTAAATATAATAAAGATGTTTAAATTCTATTCTCTGACATATTACTCGAAATATTCGAGATCATTTACTATCTTGGATGAAAGCTTTTTATTTAATAGAATAATACAAGTTTTAATAAAATATACATTATCTTTTGAGTTTTTTTTTTTTTTTGCTATTTCTGGTGTTCCTTTAAGGAACATTTATTGCCTTTATTATTCGTATTATTCATAAATAATATTAATTTTTTATTTAAAGATTTTTATTACTTGTTGATGACTTTAAGATTTGCTTATCTATTTATTCAAATTCGAATTTTAAGTTACAATGAGATGAACAAAGATTTGTAAATTGGTGTAGTTTAATGTTTCAAAATGCTATTGTATTACTTTTACTAGAAGTTATTCAGTAGTCAACATCCCTATTTTTATTTTTTAAATATTGTTGAAATAAGTAGATTCTATTAAATATTTAGATATTATTTTTTAACTAATTAAAATATTATATAATATCAAGTAAGAATAAAAAATAAAGAATAAAGCTATGCTCATGGTAGAATTTGTTAAGAGTTACAACTGAAAGTTTAATAAACTGTTTAAATTCATTATACTATGCTTTAATTCATTCAATATTAGATTATAGTAGTATTTTATTGAATACAACTCAATCGGGACTAATAGTCATAATTGAAAATGTACATAATAAATATTTAAGATAGCTAGCTTATAAGGGTAATTGTTCTAACCTAGATTTTAATGATATACTCTTTTATTATCATCTACAAACCTTAGCTGATTGACGAAAATACTTCGACTTTAAATGTATTTTTGATCTGCTAAATGGAAATATTAATTACTCTTAAAATTACTTAAAATGTTAATTAGAATAAATTGGTACCATATATCAATTTAAGGAATCATGTCTTATGTTATGTTAATCGTCTCAATCAAAACTAGAGCTACCATGAGCTATTTAATTGAATATTAAGAACTTGTAATGATTATAACATAAATTATTTTTTCAGAGTTTAGATAATATTAAGTTTGAAATAAATCAATAGTTTAATTTTTGTTAACAGAATTTATAAATTAAATTTTTTGATGGATTTTTTAATTCTAGTTACCAAATCTTTAATTCAAATGTTTGCTTATGTCAATGTAAAATTGACGTTTCGGTAACTGTAATTAACAAAA